TTATCTGTAGCCTTTCATGCATCTGATCCTGCCATAGGTGTATGAGCTGGAGAAAGCTTATACTATGTTTTGGTATATTACCAAGGGAACTTGGTCACCCAGCTCCTCTAGTAAAATTAATTGCTGACAAAGGTTGCAACTGAGCTACCTCTCTAAAAGTACTCACTAAACATTTGACTTTATCCCTTTCTTAGGGCTATGATTTCACTCTTATTTCTTAAAAATAATTTTAAAGAATGTTGTTTGGTATTACTTCCATCTCTGTTCCCATAATCTATATAAATAAAAATGTAAATGTTCGTTTGTTCAAAATCTTAAATCTCCGAAAGTTCTTCACCGATTGCTTTGAAATTTTGACACAACATTGCACTTGAATACATACGTTTTTATATACCTATATTATATAGATGTCACACCTGTGACAGGTAAAAACATGCTTTTTACTTGTGATAGGTAAAAACATGCTTTTTTGAAAAACAGCGCCATCTGTTGGACGTAATCTCTATATCTGCACACACAATGGAACAACAAAAAATATTGTACACCCACAAGCATTGTGAAATTAAACATATTAGAAACGTGCGCTTTCTCTTTTCTTTCTTTTCCATTTAACCAGACTGAGCCACAGCAATGCGTGGCTGGGTACAGCTAGTTAATAATAGGAAAGATATTCTTTTAAAACGTATTTTAATTTTTATCTAAATCTTTTGTCCACGTTTTTGCTACTCATTTTAACAAGGATGTAACAAAATTGCTGTTAAATGTGTGTGTGTGTGTGTATACATACATATACATAATTTTTATACCAACCATCTTACTAATACAGTGTCTGTGAGTGGCTCACAGTATAATAAAAAGTTTAAAAAGTGCTAAAAACAATTAATTTTTTAAAAAAATGAATAGAAAAGCTGAAAGTTAAGAATCAAGATGAGGGATGGCCTATGGATGAGAATCTTCTCTACCCTGTCAGCCATCTTCCAAGTAACAGGCCTCTGCCGGGGCCCCAGAACAAACAGCAGAGCCACATTTTTAGGCTCTTCTTGAAGATCAGGATCGTAGGGATAGTCCTCACCTCCAATGGAAAGAGATGAAAAGACTCTTCTCTTGGACCCACCAGCCAAAATTCTTTGGCTGACAGGATCTAAAGTGGGCTCTTTTTGCTGGAACAAATGGAACAGGGTGAGACGGCTCCTCAGATACCCTAGATATTATGAGTTTAAGCAACACAACTCCAGAAATAAAGAGAGATTTCTGTGTATCTAGGATATGTAGTGAGACGGTTGTTGACACTATTTGAATGGTTAAAATGAAAGCCAGGAACTCTGAAAGGAATTCTTAAAAGTAGGGGAATGGGCATTAAAATAGCAAATGCCTTTCAGTATAAGGAATAGAAAAAAACTAAAGTAATGCACATGGAGACAAAAAAAACGTCTTCATATATATGTTGATGAGAGCTGAGCACCTGGGAACTGAAAAGAAAAGACAATTTAAAGGCTGTGATGGATAGTTGAATGTAAATAATAACTCAGTACGGGGCCCTTTGTTAAAAGCAAATTCTATCCTGAGGTTAGACAAGAAAATTTAAATAAAATTACCATCTGTCATTTTTATCATTCATTTTATTGATATACCACTTCTCATCTCAGAATGAGCCCCAACATAATGCCTTTATAGAAACAGATGATGTCTTTATCTGGACTATTTCTATCATAATGACACCTCAACATGACTACAATGATAAAAAGACTGGGGCAATTCTACTATAAGAGAAAGTTATAACTGAGACTTATTTAGCCAAGGGGAAAAAAGACAACTTGAGAGCAGAGGACTTGAATGTGTAGATTATGTACTGTATGGTAGGGAAAAAGTAGTGGAGGAAAGGTTTTCTCTTTCCTACCAGTAGGGCATTTTCTGAAGTCAAATATGCCAGATGAGTGAAGGCCATCTATCCTGACATCTTTTACAAAAAGGAACAATTTCTTATGACAAATTCAAATCCATGAATGATTCTAGTCACAGTCTGGTCTGTACTGTTTTCTGGAGCAAAGGCATTATATTCTGAATATTAATTACTAGATATAGCTATTATTTTCATGCTCAGTTTATGGACATCAATACTTGAAAAATAAAAATGATGCTCCAAGTTTCCTTAGAGATAACATAGCAGTCTAATAACAGTGGATAGGTAGGAAAATATCTCTGTACAATATCTCTGAAGGCAACACGGTTCAAACAAGCACTTGCCTTTAACATGAAGCATTTTCTTTTCTTCTTTAAATGGGAGAATCCATTTGGGAAAGTACTGTGATTCTATAGTCTATAAAAAGATTTGTTTATGTACAGTATTTATTCAATTTGTACAGCCATCCACCTATATATGTGATACTGGGTGGGTCTCTTGTTGCAATCTGACGATCATGAAGTTTTTTGCAAACCCATCAGATATTCTAGTCAATGACATAAATAATCCAATGAGCTGCCTGGAGACGATGGCTCAATTAGCATAAATTTTATAGCTGCTCCAAATTCAGTAATTAAATCTTCTTACACCTGGAAATGGAATCAGACACCACAGAGGAAATTTCTTTGGCTGCTGTTTGAATCCTTAACAAGTTCGTGACTGAGCAGATATTTGAAGAGAATGTCCAAATTCATCACAGATCATTAATTCACACCAAATATCAAGACAAAAAATACACACACACACACACACACACACACACACCATTGCAGATCCCCATAGTCATGTGATCAACTGGCAACTGAGTCATATTTATGACGGTTGCAGTGTTCCAGGGTCATGTCTTTTGAGACCTTCTGACAAGCAAAGTCAATGGGGAAGCCACTTAACAACTATGTCATTGACTTAACAACTGCAGTGATTCACTTAACAATGGTGGCAAGACCTCACAAAATAGGTCAAAATTTATTTAACAATTCTTTCACTTAGCAACAAAAATGTTGGGCTCAATTGTGATTGTAAGTCGAGAACTACCTGTAATCATTTTATTTTAAAACATTAGGACATGACAAAAAGAACTTTAGAAGAAGTATGAAATGTTTGCAATCTGAAAGGATTAGAGAATGGCTGGGTTTTTTTAAATTGCAGCCAATTTTCATGGGAACTAAGTTGCTGAAAGCATTACCATGTATTCAAGATAATAGGTGATAGCGTTTGGCTGACTTCCCATATTGAGCGTATATTGCTGATTTTATCTTCCAAGGTCCAAAGGTAGGAAAGATAAGCCATTATCTCTTACTCATCCAAAGCAGCTGACATCAGATTAGTAATCTTTTGTTTCTGTTTTTGTTTCTATTGCAAACCCCACTTTAGAGAGGTCACCATTATAACCAGATCTTGTCAGTAGCTTTATTCTCCTGCTAAATAGTATTAGTGCTCATGGCTTCCTTTCTAAAAAGAGTTGCTTTCTCCACACTTTTACAGAGCAGAGTTGCATTATAATGGCAAAGAAGGGGTGTGCAATTGTAGTTAACGAGGCCTTCCCAACACACAACAACAGTATCCAAATACTGCATTGGTGCAAACCTCTGGTTACTTAGAGAGAGCTGCCACAGAATGTCAACTTTTGCCCCCAAAGGATCAAAATATGTATTCTAGAATCGTAAGTCAACATGGATGGTATAGGCAAGCTTAAAGTACAGTGGGAACATCGTATTATTAAATTGCCTTTGAGCCAAATTATAACGCAATAGCAAGTGTGTGTAACAGCACACCCAGTAAAATGCAGCTGAAGGATGCTGCAGTTATTTAAATTTTACCAGTAATTTGTGTAAGAGCAAGCAGCATTATTAAAGGAACTGTAAGGACTTGTTCCTTTCGCTTCTGAATCTTTTTTCTCTTTCAGTATGTCTTCTTCAGGATACTTTCCCCATGCCTGGAAGAGGGATTTTTGTTTATCCCACATCCATGAAAAAGCAGCAGGAGCAGAGATTTAGAATTCCTGCCATGTAATAATTTGCCCCTTAAAATCAATCAGTGTCTCCGTATCACCCTTAATCATCAACTGTAAAAACATACAGTATTTTTCATATCATAGTAGGATAGGAGAATTTCTGGAAAATATTCTTGACCACCTAAGAATTCTGATCTTCTTAAAACATTGTTTTAGAATGGATATGATTTGGGATCCAGTTGTGCTATAGAGGTTTCTTATATTCAATATGTGTCTGTGTACACATTAAGTGCTCCTGTGCTACAGTTAAATGAAAACTTTTGCTATGAGGCTAAGCTTTCTTCCATGATGCCCAGATAGTTTCAGCAGTAAGCTACACTTGAACCCATTCATGCATAGACCATACTATATGTGTTATTTGCAGCTTGTCATGATGGTTCACTAACTGGGCTTGTAGTTTAGCATGGGATCTTCCTTGACTGTTCTATACATCTGCATTCCCATAGATTCTCCTGTCAATCACATCTAAACCTGTCACCTTAGCTACGAAGTATATTCTTGTACATCTGTTATTTTCTGAATGGTTAATAGCTTTAAGTTCAACTTTATAGTTGGTGTGCTCTACTTTCCTTTGATTAAAAAATTTTATGTTAGGACTCCAGAAGCACACCTTCTCTGTAACAGTTCCTGTCCTCTGAAATGAGGTTTCTCACCAAGATCTGCATGGCTCCCACTCTGGTGTTGTTTAGAAGAGCTGTGAAGATCTGACTCTTCACCAAAGCCTTTGGTAAAAGAGCATGAGACCCCTCACTGTATAGTGCTTCGTATCTTTTTTATTCTAACTTCCTTGGTTGTTATGAGCTGCCTAGTATCATTGAAAATCCGGTGGCATACAAGTTTAATAATTATATGAAACTATGAACTGAAAGGATGATAAATGAAGTAACTAGTTTTCTCCTAAAGTTAGAACTTTCATGTTAAGAATTTAAAGTAGTATTCAATGACATCTTAATTTTTTATTATTACTAAACTGGAAAATATGAAACTTTTTTTAAAGGGACAACAATCCATTATCAGAATGAAAAAAATATATTTCTTTTTAGAAAACTCATAGATATACATACAAGTAATTGAACATTTTGCTCAGCAGGATTTCTTTCACTGAAAGTAATACTGAACAACCTCCAAGATTGGTACAAAACTTTAAACATTTCACAGTTAATCACACTGAATTAAAATAATAAAAGTAAATATCTGTGTTTCATCTTTTTGTTTTTGCAGACTGCATTATTCAATGACAATAGGTTCAAGCTACGGTATTAAGGTTTGAAACTGGAAAAAGTTAAAAATTAGCCAGAAGAAATGCTGGAAATTTAAATAATCAGATTCAAAGTCCCTTAAAGTATCTTTTGTTAGGGAAATCGGGGTAAATGAAAACAGTGATTTGGAAATATTTATCCTTCAAAGGTGTCATCAGCAGTTTTAATGAAAGGTTTAACTTTCTCTCCTCAAGGGCAGTTTAAATTAGATAAACATGCCTGTGAGACAGAAAGGAAATAAAAGAGGCTGAGCAAAATTCAAACTTTAATTTGGCTTTTGGCAGGATGTAAAGATGGGGGGGGCGGGAGGGCAAAGGAATTTGCTGAGTGTTGTTAAAATGTAAAGAAAAAAAGATTTCTGGTTTACAGATATGTTAAAAGTCTGTCAGGAGGTTCCTTATACACAAGGAAACGGGTGCAATTAGAATGACACATTAAAACATGGACCTGTTCTAGAGTACCAGAATAAGGTTGCTGAAAATGATAAATAGATCTACTGGTAAATCCTTCTGTCGACTGTGTGCATTTGTACTTGCTCAACCATATCTACATAAACTTAAATATTACAAAAAACAGCCAGCTTGATATAATGGTTAAGGCATCAGGCTAGGAACTAGGAGACTGAGTTCTATTCCTGACTAAGGCACACAACCAGCTGGATTACCCTGGGCCAGTCATTCTCTCAGCCCTAGGAAGGAGGCAGTGACAAACCTTTTTACAGAAGGCAACTTCTGTAAAAATTTGCCAAGAAAACAGTAGGGACTTGTCCAGCGAGTCTCTGAGAGTTGGACACAATTGAATGGAAGAAAAAATAAATATTAAAAAACACAGTAAGTCCAGAAACAAATATCTTTCCCAAACTCTAAAGAAAGAATATCAAGTGTATAACGATATTAATTTGTACTTCCTAGACTAACAGGCTGCCCAGAGTCATTGGGAGGTGGGTGGCGTACATTTAATAAATTATAATACACAGATAAATTGGGTTTCTTGTCAATTGCACATTGCTTAGTTATAAAATAGTGTACAATGTCTAAATTCAGTGAAATTGTGTATATAAAAAAGCATATATTAAAGAAAGCTTATATAATGTGTCCCTGAAGGACAATTCCATAAAAAAAATAAATGCATTTATGTGTGTTTTCTTTTTTAAAACATAAAAAATTAGAAACACGATTATATGTATATAAAGCCAATTCATCCAATCCCAATGGTGGCTGAAATTGAGACTTGCATAGTTGTTAAGTATGAAACAGTTTACAAAATGCCCCTGTGTTGGATAATTCTTGAATAAAGAGCTTTGATTATTGAAATATTTGTTCACATAAAACTAGTGTTGATAATTGCTTCACAGCAGAAATAATGTAATCCATTGGTGTTGAAAGCATTAGTCCCAGTAACAATGCCAAGTTTTCTCTAGCATCTCAATCAAAGGCTTCCACTTGAAGACGCAGATCGTTTAACATAAACCTTCATGGTGCTACCTGGAATTAAGTAGGTCAAATTGCTTTGAAAAATAGCAAGAGGACGCCCTGAAGGGGAAAGGGAGGATTGAAAGGCTGTGAAAAAGGACTAAGAATATTGACAACAGTAAATAAGATAATTGTACACAGGTTAAAATTAAATGGTACAATGGAAATGTTATTGTACTCCAGAAATGCTTTAGATCCTGGTCACCACAGGATTCCTGTATTTCTATAGAGTACCCCCCACAAAAAGGGCCAAGGGATGTTCCACACCATACTCTAAAGTCCTAATAATGCAAATTCCCCTTCTGGCCATAAAGGTGGAAAGAGGAAGGAGGGGAGAAACATTGGAAAAAGCTGCCTTATGCTTTAAAACAACCTTGCCCAGCCTGATGCCTTCTAGGTGACCTAAAATTCCTTTTATCCTCAACTAGCGGTGTACTATATGTAAATGGTGGGATATGGAATCCAGCATATCTGGAAGTCTCCAGGTTGGAAAAATCTTCAGACTCAAATGTAACGAATATGGCACTGCTTTAGGTATATTACACCTTTCCATTTCCCTGCTAATTTGTCTACAGAAGTTTATTATTATTAAACAAAAATAATCTGGGGTTATCACCAAATTGTCTGGACTTGAAAATTAAATAAGGCCAGTCCCAATTAGCACTAGGCACATAGATAGGAGCAGTGTTGGGATTCAAATATGTGAACAACCGGTTCTCTGTGTGGATGCCACTTCTGGAAGTCCATTCTGGGCCTGGGCAACAAAAAATTAGCTACCGGCTCTGCCGAAGTGGTGCGAAACAGCTGAATCCCACCACTGGGTAGGAGTCTGGCAGTAGAATGATTTGTTAATGTTAATATCAAAAACAAGAAGTGGTAGTAATAGTAAGTCAGTCAACCATCACTCAAGAACTGACCTGCTAGCATTTGGGTTAGTCCTTTAATAGTCAACCATGTTTTTATATTCTGCCAAGCTTTTGCCAGGAGGGTTTTATTAGGAATAACAAGAGAGAAGTGATTATAAAAATGGAAGAAAGGGTGTCTTCCTGCCTTTATCTTTCTGCAATGGGTCTTTTCTTAGATAGGGATGCAGACTGATGCTATCAGCAGAAACCATCAGTTACCAGCATGCATAAGCAAAGTTATGTTAGGAGTCCTAACTTTTTTTTCTCATAGAACAATCAGCTCAAGAAACAGTTCTAAGAGTATTCCCATTCCATTCCAGAGAACACTGGACTATTGAAATTATTGATAAACAATTCCTTTCCATAAGCAGAAAATTCCTGCAAGCATGTTCTAAATAGAATTCAGTAGTATTCCATCTAGGCTTAGTATTGCCAGACAATATGGTCTTTCCTGATGATGCTAGTTATTTTAAAAGAAGACACCAAAACACAAAATTAATATAACCAAGATAATTGGTATATATTAACCATATTGATTATACTATTAATATATTGTTCAAATAGAGAACAGTGCAAATACTTGACGGCTCAATCTGCCTCTATGGTTTGCATTAACACTCAGATGTCTGTAGAAATGTCAGACAAAGTTGGACACAATCTTCATTGGAAGATTGTAATTGATGTTAATTAAAGGACATTCATGAAGCATGTTGCTTTGGGAATATAGATAAAAAGAATTATCATAAATATTATAAAAGCAGTTCTCATTTTTAAAACCTTTATCTTGGATACCCAAGGTATTTTATACAAAAGTTTGTATACAACACGCATTACTTATCCTGTCTTTGGTAGTTACAAAAGTTATTTAATCAGAGTAAATCAGTTTCAATTGGCAAGCAAGAAAGGAAGGAAGGAAGGAAGGAAGGAAGGAAGGGAATTTGATGCAGCTTCATGACTGGAAATATGCATCTCAGTATACCATATCTCAAATTTGTGCTTGATGGCACCTAACCAATACAGGAAAGAATAGATTTAAAATGTATTCTTTAAAGACAAACAAAATTCAGTTTAAGCAAGAGCAAAATCTGTGAAGCTGATAAAACAGATGAAGCCAACACATTAAAAAAGCTACTTACCTTGAATGTTTTGAATGATCATTTTCCCCAGAGTAGAACTAAAATAACAGGATGTAGGATATCCCCTACATCTTTTTATTTTGGATATTTCTAAAGCTGTTCACGAATCTGCAAAGATTTTTATAAGTGCTTTTATCTAAATATGCTGATAACCTATTCTGAATCAGAAATTCTGTCTTACTAGGATAACTGATTATGGACAGAGCTGTATGCATATACAGACGAATGCCTTTTCAAAAATTGCATAAAATATAGAAGATCTTGCAAACAGCTGGTGTTACATAACATGAATGTATCTTTCCTGCAGAGTTTAAACTTATTCAAATCCAAGTAAAAGCATGCCTAGATCTTCTGTGAATCTTTTATGGATTTTTGAGGAAAATGCCTAGGTGATGTTCATAATGCCATCTATTCTCACCTGTCCATGTTCTCTGTGGAGTGATGATAAAATATTGGCACTGTGGATGATAACTGCAAATGGAAGCAGCTTCTTCTACGTTATGAACAGACAACATGCATCTCAAAGGGCTATATGAAGGCCAACACTTATAGTCCTCTGTATTCGTACTGTGGAATCCCTTTACAACAAAATATTCTGGGGATAGGGAGAAAAGATAAAGGATTACTACTATGTACCTGTTGGAAACTCAGAAGTATTTCAGAAATGAGAAAAATGGAAAGGATGTTTTAAGACTTTGCATCTCAACCAGAACTTATCTTCCCAGGCATGTCTAGCAAAACAGTCGTAAATCTTTTCTCTCACACACACATACCAAAGCTATTCTTTATTGGCAGGGTGGAAAGCCATAACTTTAACTCTTGTCTCCTTGGACATCTTTCATGCCATCAGTGACTCTATTTTTGTATTTAGAAGGGTGTAGAATTTATTACAAAAAGAAGCAGGCTAAGAATTTTCAAACTCTAGCAACATCTTCCACATTTTAAAACCATTTCAAAAGAAATCAATAAACTTATTCATAATAAAACTAACCTAAGCATACCACCTAAAACTAGAATGTTCAGAAGATAAGCCATTACACAATCCATGGATATATGAAATAAAAATAAGGCTATGACCACAAGCTCTATCCTCTAATGTAGTAGTAGACCATTTTTGGAGCCTAAGGTACATTAGAAAAGTTGAAGCTTACAAAGTGGCTGCCATGGGAAATTTGCCTATTCACAAAATGTCCGCCATGGTTAGGAAAATCTATACTACAAATAAATTAGCTCCCTCTCCCCCAAAGCTCTCTAATATTCCAGTAAAACATTATGGAGTCTAAAAGCATTGCCACAAATAGTCAAAGTTTTGTTTTATAAAATGTCATTTCCTTATATGTTGGTTTTATTAAAACAATATTTTTAAAATATCATATGAGCATTAAGTGGGCATTAGGAAAGGAACCTAGGGTGTTCATTTAGACCAGATTGCCAATCCCAATTGCCTTAGCTATATGCCCAATAATATCTTAAAAGGGAATCAAGCATGTACACTTGGCTGCTTTGAAGTTGATTGACTTTTCAGATGTATGTTGTATAAATAATAGCAGAGGAATATGGTTGAGACTCATTAGTGTCAGCGCTAGAAGGTATGATATGTCCTCAATTTCCCAGCATAGATTTACTAATACGTGAGAGTTGTTCAAAAGAAAAGCCCCCAAAATGAAGTAAATCCTACTCAATGCAGTCAGAGGTCCCTTTGTAGGGAAAGCTAATTTTACCAAAATCTCAATGACTCAAATCCCAAAGGGATTTAGGTTGACCAAGCTAGTATTTCCCATTGATTGCAATGGGTTTTAATTAAGCACATTTTAACTGTGTCAAGTCCTTATGCATTTAGTCTGATCTTTGTCACTAGTTATGATATCCATACCTTTTAAGTGAGAAAGCTTTTTCTGCAGATAAAGTCCTGACTTGTACAAATGTAAAACCTTTTGGAAAGCTCGTAAAGTTTCATTTGTTCCATATCGTAAATCGCCTACATGCAGAGGAGAGAAGAATGTTGTAAGGCGAAAAATACTGTAAAGTAGTTCTTATTTATATAAACATTTCAAACATATCTTTAACATTTTGAACTAGCACGTACCTGTAGCATTCAAGATGTCCTTCAAAATTGGTTGCAAAGCAATGGGTGCAGTATGAGGTAAGAGATAAGTGAAGAAATACCTAAAAACATATATGAAACCTTACATATTAAAACAGAAATCTTCCAAATTTTAGTAAAGATTGATAACAAAAAACTTAAATCTTATAATTTATAACAAAATGAAATTGAAGCTTCTTGGCTAGAGCTAAATTTAGAACAGAAAAATCTGTCTTATCCTACTTTACACCAACAACAGCTTTTTATTTATTTTTATTGATATATTTGGTCCACCCCATAAAGAAACAAATTAACATTTTCTCAAATATCTTTGTTAATGAAATGGTGCTTCCAGTTTTGTCCATGAGCCTCTCAGAAGTGAATTGGAACATATTCGAAATATCCCATTTGTAAACACTATTTACCCAGTTTTTGTGCCTGAGAAGAGGATATAATGAAAATTCATTAACTGTGCATACTCAGCAATACACTAATTTTAAAGAACTGCCTGAATCTTTGGTCCCACTCTCATGAGCTAATTGTAACAAAGTCACCTGCAGGATTTACATATCATGTTAAGCCGTAATATATCTTGGCTTATTTATCCAATTTATATGGCCACTTAAGTCATTAATTGCCACTCTGGGGTTAAAAGAGAAAAAAAGAAAGATATTCAATGAAAAACAACTATTACCAAACTAACCTTGTCCAACATCCTGGCCCAATGCCAGGGGAGGCCTCTGGGTTAAGGCTTTTTAAAAGACCAGCAGTATATCATGTATTTCCAGCCATGAAATCATGTTTTAAGCAGACGTATATTGCAAGTGTCTCTTAACCTTACTCAGGTGATATTCAACTTGCTCCAATCTGGTGCCCCTCATATATTAGTTGCTCTGAGAATGAGTAGTGCTACTTTTCATTTTCTAATGAAGTCAGTCATGCAGGAAGAAGGCTTACATAAGCACTACTATTTCTATCTCAGCAAAATTTTGAACAATGTTATATTCATACAAATTAATACAAAGAATACTTTTTCAGATCTGCTGTCTGTTATGACTTACATTTTTTTTTGTTGGTTCCTAGTAAGCTATAGACACTTGTTAGTGCTGCCTAACTTGCTGCCTGAATCTAAGCAGTACTCTAAGTTTGCCTGGAACTAAACCTTACTCTCATCAAATAAATCTTGAAAAATGTAAGATTTTTCTGCTTCCATCTTCCTTTCTAAGTGAGATCCATTTAATTAGCAGAAGCAATCATTGAATTCTTAGTATAACATATTAGCACTGATGGGGTCAGCATTGCTTCCTTCCATCTACTTTTAGCCATTTGTCTAAACAACGTCAGACATACAGTACTGTACATACGGTGAGTATGCTATTCCCCAAGTCTGAAGAATTTTTGAAAGCAAACAAAAAGTAACAATATATGGTTTCCAGGGAAAAGCATTTATGAATGATAACTTTAGTCAAACTACTATCCAACATGCATTAATATTCAAAGAATTATAGTAATGTAGAACAACTTCCTGTAAATTAGCACTTTCCAGATGTATTGAGTAACAGACCCAGAGTTCCAGACACATTGCTCTTCATAGACCAGCGGTTCTCAACCTGTGGGTCGGGACCCCACTTGGGGTTGAATGACCATTTCACGGGGGTCGCCAAACAATGCAGTCCGCCATTTTTCCCCCTTTTCCTTAGCTGTGCTACCCCCTTTTATTCTATTGGCTTTTGAAAGCCAATAGAATAGACTCTCTTGAATAGGAGAGTCAAAAGCCAATAGGAATTGTCCAGGCTGTCTCTGCCTGCTGAGCCCGCCAAAAGTCCCATTCTGCAAATGGTGCTGCACCAGTTGAGTAGTCCTCTACGTACGACCGGTTGAGTAGTCCTCGACTTACAACCGGTTGGGGGGCGTGGCATTAAAAAGGTTGAGAACCACTGTCATAGACAGAATTCTGAGGATTGCAATCTAATATGGCAGAATACAGTAGTTGGAGAAGTCTGACAAAAAAAAGAAATACTACATGAAAGAAAATGCTAAAAATACATGGCATATGTGATGATGTTCTTCTCCAGTTCTTTTTCTTTTAAACTTACCAGTTTTTCTTTATCCAACTTACCGGTATGCATTGAAAAGATTCCGTTTCTCATTTATTCCTTTACAGTTCCTATGGCTGGCACATTTGAGAAAGAAGGTTTTTGTGGGGAATTTGAGAATGCAATCTTGATCCCTTTTGCAAGACAGCTCCTCAGTGCTCACATCATCCAGGTCTGTAACTTTCAGGAGCCCATTCACCATAACAAATTGCCTTGGTTGGAAATCTAGAAGAGCAATGGAACCCAGAGGAGAATTTGCCAAGTAATAGAGTAGTTCTACCAGATTCAGACAAATCTGAAAGAGAGATGGTAAACAAATAAGAGATTTTCTTACATTATAACATCAGCAGTCTACCTTCCTTCCTTCCTATTATTTTGAAGCTTAATGCATAATTCACTGAAATTACAGTATATCTGCTATGGCAAAAACTTAAGGCCTTAATATATATGTTGATCTAATGTAACCATGTAATGGGATCACAGCTAATTTTTCCATATTGTTTAACCACACCTTAAATATGCATTCTAAAGTTAAACTACAGTAGTGTACTGTAGATAGATTGCCTTTGAAACAGTCCAGAAATGTCAGTGCAGAGAATTTGCTCCTGCCTATATATGTTTACAGATATATTGACACTGATGTGTTACAATCCTTCTAATAGCTTCCAAGCTCAAAGATTTATAATAGCTAGAATGTCTCCAGGAATGGCATGTCCACAGGATTTACACAGAAGTTTAATACCATGTTTTCAAGAGCAAAGATCTTCCCCAGACCCTTCCTTCTATCAGGATTCAGGATTGGGTCTACTGCTACCGATAAAATCCTCTTTGCTTTTGTTTCCTTACTTTAAATCTCTCTTCCCAGGGAATCTGCAGAAGCTGAATCATCTCCAAAGGGGTTCCAAGCTCCAGCATGGAAACCACTTTCATTTCAGGATACAGGCTATTATTATAGCATTGACCATGCAGCTGTCAGGAGAAAAACAGAATGAAGTATTAATACAGATGCAAAATATAGAAATTATTCTTTGAAAAAAATATATTTTGCTAATGGTGAGAAAGGTCAAATGAAGATTTAAAAACTCAACTGCTCTTGCTAAGGTAAAAGTATGCCTTACATAGTTGATCCTAAGCATGTTGGTAGAAGTTATAATTCATGAAGTTAATTGTCTGCATCTTGAAGTTGAGGGTTTATACCTCCCAGATAACTCTTTATTCTTACTTATGTTTATTTACCACTAAATCAGCCAAGAGTAATTTTCTTTCAAAGAGGTTTAGAAAATTGCTTCTTGTGGGTTTTCTCCGGTTGCAAGCTTTGTAGCATAATAAACAGTAATCAAACCAAGAAAGAGAATTCTGATTAAATGTTACCCACTGCACTTTATGTTTGGGATCAAATATTTTCTATTTTATTCAACGCTGCAAACTCAATTGGCATATTTTGCATGATACTCCCCACCTTTACCCTTTACCCCGCTAAATAAATACTAAGGCTTTCTTGCAGAAAGTGAGAGGAAGCCATGGGAGAAAAAACATCTTGAGGGCTATATGCATCAGAGCCCCAGGAGTCAAATTGGACTGCCCAAAGAAAGCTTACAAGCAAGGCATATAAACATGAAACTTCTCCCATTATTATTCCCCAAAATACAGTATTCTAGAATGGAACCCTCCAGGTGGCCCTCCAGGTGTTTAAATATAGTATTTTTCACTATTGTGCATTTTCTTGACAACGGTATGGCAATGGTTTGTCCCTTCCTTTCTCTGACATATTATTTTCTACTTCTCAGCCTACCTAACAGTCTTAAAATTCCCACATGGTCACCAATCCAAGAAATGAATAAGGCCAACCATGCTCAGTTTCCAAGACCTGTCAAGAGTTAGCACAACACTTTCATCTGCTGAGTATGTCCAGGTGTCACAAGACTAACATTGCCAGCAGCATCAACCAGCATGTTCAGTAGAAAGGATGCAGCACATTTGCAGATTATTAACATCTAAAGATTCACAGATTCATCACCACTGTGATACTCAGAGGTTAGGCAAATATTTATGAAACATGGCCACCGAAAGCCTAACTCACCATTAATTTGATTAATCCTCTTAAAAAACATTAAACTAAGCTGCCTTCATATTTTGTAGTAGCAAATTTCTGGAGTTTACAAACTGCACATTGAAATATTAAGTAATATAGCAGCAGCCCTGCATTTTACTCCAAATATGCATTGTTCCCTACACCAAATCCAGGCAGGACCATGATTTTTTTTCAATTAATCAGTCATTACATGACTGATTGTATGTGTTGTATGTAAAGCTAAAATAGGTCCCCTTTAAACTAATCAAAGGAATTTCAGAAGAATAGGCATGCTTGTTGCAGTGCACACAACATAATTTACAAAATAAAATATATCTGTAACATTTCCTCCTAAAAGCTATGGATTGGCCTACTAATTTGAGGTTGGACTCAAAACAAGAATATTTGAGTAGTGAAAGCTTAAAATCTGATCATGTGACAAAACCAGTGGACTCATTAATTATATTTAAAAATTTATATGCTGCTCTCTGCCATGAGTAGTCAACTTATATTGATATCCATTCCCAGTAAACTGGCATGAGCTACACCTTTGAAACTACTAATCGAGGATATTAAAATAGGATTGGGCTATTACCTTACATTGTGTAAAGATCAATAATCTTGGATTAAGCACGCTCAACCATCACGTGGTTGAAAGTGGGGAGAAACGTAATTAGTAAAATATCTAAAGAAATTACAGCATTTATAACTACACAAAACAACCCATTAGGCTCCTAGGCTGGGTCTCCTGCCCTCCTTTCCGAGCGCGCTGCCGGTACTACGTGCCTTGATGATCCCTTCATGATCCAGAGTCTGGAGCAGAATCGTCTCCTTCAATAGCTTGTAAGCAGCGAGCTGGAAACAACCTTCCGCGTGGCCGTAGCGTTGAACACAGCGAGTCACGTCGCTGCCTGTCCAGTGCACGGATTTCAGGGCGATTTCCTCGCCACTGGGCGACAAAACTGTTCTCAGCACCAGCTTCGTAATGCCAGCACCTACCACGCCCACGTCGCTTAGGCCGTTCAGTTGCGCGCAACCCAAAGGCTCTGCGACCCCTGCGCGCCTTGCGATGGATCGAGAAGCGCGCGCTTGGACAGAGGCTACCAGGCGACTCAGGTCTTGCTGCCGCTGCTCCAGTTCCCTCATCAGATCCAGAGGCGGCTGGGAATCTAAGAGCCTCCAAGGGCCCGAGAGAACAAGGGCCAAAGCAAGCAGAACAACGGGCGAGATCAACAGCGCAAGTAGCGCCTCAGGACCCGGCATGGCGAAGGAAGGAGGGAGCGCACGGGCGAGCAGCTGGCCTGAGTATCAGGCTGAGTTGGTGAAACGAGAAAGGTGAGGCTTCAGACAAGGAGGCGGGTTTCCAGCAAGGAACTGCCCACCTCTCAGACTGGCCTTGCCCCCAAATTATGCATATTTGTGATTTCTCGGGGCGGGGCGGGAGAACCTAAACCAACTTTTTCTTTTCTCCAGTGGCAAGGAGTAACGATGCGACGACTGTTCAAGAGAGGATTTGGCTTGGCTACGAGGTTCAGACGAATTGATCAAATGCAAATATCACTTGAAGATGAGCCCCCGACATCCCGTGATGAACTTCACCGCCGATCTTGTCAACCGCCGGATTAAACCCTCCAAATTCTTTTCCAGCTCAGAGAGCGATGCTTTTTGATCGATCAGTTCCCATGCGCTGGTTTTGAAAAGCTTGGGTTATCAATGTTAAACAAGGGCATTTAGGAGTGGGAAATAGTGCTCTTTCCCCTCTCCCCTTTTGAATTTTATTTTACAGTTGTTGCTGGAGGGATAAGAATATAGGAAAACCTTCATCCAGGGAGGAAAAAAAAAACCTTCGAAGTGTTGCAGAAAAAAACATGCTACTTACTTTGAAATGTTTGCCACAAATATTTCAAGGTTATTAGAGCTCCTGCTGTTATTAAAGGTAGGGAGGGAATTGAAAGGAAAGTGTATAAACCCAACCTCCAGCAAATTACAATTCAAAACCTCAAAGCCCTAAGAGAACAAGCCATGGCTCTAGTTTCTTTGGCGGAAGGACAGCATGCAAATAAAACAACTAGTAAAGTAGAGTGCAAGTACGGAATATGAGGAAACTCGCAAGCTGTCCCATCCCATACCTGGGGAGAAGGCTCCCAGGCATTCTTGAGACCCCACAGTTTTTGTTTGTTGGAGAAGACTTGTACCCCATTGTTCTGGCACTTTGGTATCCTTCAGATTTCATCACTTTAAAAAGTAACAGGGTAAACTTCGTCTACTTCCATTGCCATTTCTTAATGCTAGGACTTTGGAATTATTTAAACATAACATTTTAGGATGTTTTTATAGCATCAATGGATGTTATTGCACTCATGTTTTTGAGACAATACAGGATTAGTAACAATTTTTGGGCTGTGTTTTAAATGCACTCTTAAACTGGTTTTGTTTAAGACAGTGGTTCTCAACCTGTGGGTCGGGACCCCATTTGGGGTCGAATGACCGTTTCACGGGGGTCACCAAACAAGGCAGTCCGCCATTTTTTCCCCCCTTTTCCTTAGCTGTGCTACTCCCTTTTATTCTATTGGCTTTTTTTTTTATTAAGAATTTTTTAAAAAGTTTTTACAAAAAACACAAAAAACAACAACAAAAATAAAACAACCCTCAACCCCTCCCCAACCACCCCGCCCATCCCCCCGAGCTTCCCAAAGCTGAATATAGGCTTAACTACAATTATAAAAATCCTAAGAAAGATTAAACAACTTATAAGCTAGTTAACAATAAAATATATATAACAAAAAAAGCATAAACATTAAAAAGAAAAGATACTTAAAAAAAAAGAAAAAGAAAAGAGAAAAGAAATAAAAAAGAAAAAAAGAGAAAGAATACAATCTATGAAATATCAAAATTTGTATACAAGTTATAAAAAAGCTAAATGATATTTTTTTATATCCAATTTATATTGTGTGAAATTTATCCATTTTTCCCATACGGCAAAAAATTTCTCTTGTGATTGCTCCTTTAAGAAAGCCGAAATCTTTGCCATTTCCTCCAAGTAAGAAACTTTAAAAAACCACTCTTGCAAAGTAGGCAAAGATTCCTTCTTCCAATATTGCCCTACTAACAGCCTTGCAGCTGTAATCAAATTCAACATCAATATAACCTCTTTAACATCACAGTCAGTAACAATTCCTAACAAAAACAGTTGTGGAGTAAATTTTACCCTCCTTCCAAAAATTCTTTGAATATTCCACCATATCTTAATCCAAAAAGCTTTTATATTTTTACACAACCACCAAATATGATAATAAGTAGCATCCAGACAACCACATCTCCAACATTTAGGCTGTAAGTCAGGATACATAAGAGACATTTTTTGTGGATCAAGGTGCCATCTATAAAACATTTTATAAAAATTCTCCCTTAAGTTCTGGGCTTGTGTAAATTTAACATTCCTCACCCAGATAATTTCCAAGGTGTCCAGTAGAACTGGTTCACCAAAATTTTGTGCCCATTTAATCATACAGTCTTTGATTAGTTCTGATTCTGAATCCAGTTCCACTAGAACCCCGTAAATTCTCTTAATGTGAGTTCGCCTTTGATCCTTTACTTGTTTAAAAAGATTTTCATCTTCTCTAAGCAGGCCCTTATTACGATCCATCTTCCATCTATCCACTATTTGTCTATATTGAAACCAAGAATAGGTAATATTTTCATGTACTAAATCTTCCAAAGATCTTAACTGCCAATTTTGACCGTCCCATCTAAGTAATTGTGTATAAGAGACCCTATCCATTTTAACTCCTCTTCTTATCCCCTCTATCGCATGCCCAGGTATAGCCCATAATGGTATTTTAAAGTCACTTTTATAATATTTCCTCCAAACCCGAAGTAAAGAAATCCTTATAATATGAGATTTAAAAACACAATCCACTTTTTTGTTAAAAATTAGATAGGCATGCCATCCAAAAAGTAAATCCCAACCCTCCAAATGGAGTATTTCTTCATTTGTTAAATTTACCCAATCACTAATTAGTGTTAAAACCACAGCATCATAATATAATTTCAAATTCGGTACCTTGAGTCCACCTCTTTCACGGAAGTCTTGCATAATTTTAAGCTTTACCCTTGGTTTTTTCCCTGCCCAAATAAATGTATTAATACCTTTCTGCCATTCATTTAAATTAAGCTCATTCTTTAAAATAGGTAGCATTTGAAACAAGAAGAGAAATTTTGGTAAAACATTCATTTTAATCACTGCAATTCTTCCCATAAGAGATAACTGTAACTTCTCCCAATTCTTCAAGTCTTTCTGTACCCTGACCCACAGCCTTTCATAATTATTTTTATACAATTTTGCATTGGAAACAGATAAGGTAACCCCCAAATATTTTATCTTGTCTACAATCTCAAAATCAGTCAGATTAACCAAAGTCTGCTTATCCAAATTAGTCATGTTTTTAGATAATATTTTAGTCTTATTATTATTAATTTTAAAACCCGAAACCCGTCCATATTGGTAAATCAGTTGTAGTAGCTTTACTATAGAATTGGTAGGTTGAGACAAAGTAACCACCAAATCATCTGCAAAAGCTCTTAACTTATATTCTTTTTTGTTGACTTCTATTCCTTTTATTTCCTGCGACTCTCGAATTTTAATCAACAAAATTTCCAAAGTTAAAACAAACAGTACCGGTGACAATGGACATCCCTGTCTTGTACCTTTTTCTATTGTAAAAACCTCTGACAAACCCCCATTAACAATAAGTTGTGCCGTTTGTTTTTGATATATAGAAGCAAAAGCTTGTAATATTTTTTCTCCAAAGTTCATCTCCTCGATTACTCTTTGAATAGAGTCTAATTCTATTGGCTTTCAAAAGCCAATAGGAATTGTCCAGGCTGTCTCTGCCCTGCTGAGCCCGCCAAAAGTCCCATTCTGCAAACGGTGCTGCACCAGTTGAGTAGTCCTCGGCTTACAACCGGTTGAGTAGTCCTCGGCTTACGACCGGTTGGGGGTCGCGGCATTAAAAAGGTTGAGAACCACTGGTTTAAGAGAATATGTTTTAGTTAAAGCATTTTAGAATTTGTTTTACGGCCATATGGATTTTCCAAAATATTCAGCCATTGTATTGTTACAGTATTTGGGGGGAGTATTCTAAAGTCTAATTTGTATGAATTTCCTTTTGTTTTATTAATGTTATGCCTATTTTTACTTATATATACTTATAAATACCTGATTAATTTCCAATTGCACTGCTCGAAATGCGTTAAAAATGAGATGCATTCTGATTAACATTTTGTCAGGATTACAGTAACAATTCTAATGAAAATTACTTCTGTGAAGCTATTATTTTTTCTTACAATGAATTTCAAGCCTTTCCAATTAGGAAAGGCTTTTCTTTTTATGTCAAAAAGAATTGAGATTCTTGCTATTTTCTGAATATATGAAGTGTGAATATAGATAAGTGGAAGAAATATATTATAAGAATTAGCATATGAATTTAAAGGCACCGACATCTATCAGTATGATTTGCTCGTATTTTAAGATATCTATAGCATTCCTGCTATATTTTTATTCAATCTTTTCTTGTACCCTTCCTAGAAAAGACACTGCATGACTTTCTTATGCATATCAATGCAGTCTGCTTTTACAATTAGGAATTTTCTCTGAACATGTAACTAAGACTAATTCCTATAATTACAATTACTACACTATTCAAACATATGGATACAAACACTATTCATAAATATTGGAAATTTTTATTAGGGAACTATTATAATGACTGTCTACTTTTGTGTACCTGGGCCTTAAATGGACTGTGACAATCTGGCATTAGATTGGCAACAAGAAATAAATCTTTTCAGTATTGACCATATTTCTCTGGAATTATATTCTATGATCCTTTGTTCTACTGTCTGTAACAGGTCTTAAAAGACTCTTTTTCATTCCAAACTGATTTTAAATGCTGGTGCTGCTCTGAAATGTTAAAATATTTTTATTTGCAAATACTGGTATTTAAAAATCTATTGTTTATCAGATATATTTTTTTATATTTTAAAGATATCAAATGAATATGGAAAGCCCAGTCCAAACTCCCACATGTTTGGCAACAGAACTCTAGGTATCTTTTGCATAGATTAGATTTAACTCCTCTTTCCCAACAACAAGTAAAGATTTTTTTTCATGGATAGGTACCCTTAGTAGAGATCCATATCTTCCTTGATAATCTTTCCAGGTTTGTCCTCAGAGATTAACTTAATTCAGAAATAAGATGCGGATAGAAAGTAAACCAGAAGATTTACTTTTAAAGGAAAAGAGCCATGAAATATCCTCTCTATCTGCACACCCATTTAAATCTTGACAAAATTTGGTTGGATTCA